GGACTAGAAAGCAATAGATTTCTTGCTTCTGCCACAAATTCCCCAGCTGTGAGCCTTCCAACCTTCTAAGTATTCCTTTATATGTGGTTCAGAGTTCTGGGACCATCCCCTGAGCCTGCTTGTTCGGGGATTCTGTGTTGTTGTTGCCGGAGCTCTCTGCTATATGTCCACCCGATCCGCCATCTTGTTTGTTCCCCCTAGAAAATATGCTTCTTGAGTGCATGGACACTCTAGCTACAACAGTGCCCTCTGGTTGTTTTGGTTAAGTGTCGTCGAGTTGTTTCCAGCTCATATCAACCCTATTTAGGGTTTCTGGGGAGTAGATGGTGGGTTTGAACCACTGACTTTGTGGTTAGTAGCCCACTGCTTACCCTGCAGCACCACACCAGAACTCCCTGGCACATAGTAGACACTCTATAAATGTTTGTTGAATCGTCGAGTGAATAAAATAAATAGAACTTTTCACAAGAAAAGGACTTCTGCCTTCCTCCACTGAAACTTCACAGGGTTCTTTTTTGCCTATGTCACAGCATATAGTAAGCAGAGCAGATTTAATTGCAGATGAAAAAAACTGACCATGAACTAAACATAAAAAAGGGAAGTGGGGGAGGAGTGGGAAAGAACTACATGGGGGCCTCTGAGAATAGTCTTGGAGATAATTCCCCAGTTGTCCTGTTCACTTTAACAGCCTTGTTTCTGTTGGATCCCTATAGCAATTGCCTGGGAATTGCCTTGAGGTCTGACAGGTTTGGGGATATGTTGGGCCATTACATGACTTCCCTGAACATATGTTTCTTGCCATTTCATGGATTTCTGTTGGCTCTCTGGGTTGGAAACCAAAGTTAGAAAAAGTGTGGTTATTGAGTTCTGATCCTCAAATTGCCCCCACTGCCATTTCTGTCCCTCTCATCATTACTACATTCCCTACAACTCAGCAATCATGGCATCCCCCTTGACCTCTGCCTCCTCGGCACATCTCATCTTCCTCCTATATTCAAGCAACCTAGATGCCCAACATGGCTTGTAACACTGATGACAATGATTACCCTGGTCAGGCAGGGGTTGCCCAGGTGGCTTCTTTTAGGTTTCACCCCTTGACTTTGCTGACACTAGAACTATCTAGGAGAAGATAGCTGGATTTTGAAAGCTGGAAAAGTGTTTGTGTGTTTGTTCCTCAGTCATTGTTGGCTGCTTTTCAGCTAGTGATACAGAAGTTATCATCAAACCCTATGGTGACTATGTCCATTCCTTGTTCAATCATGTGTACTTGCCCAGGTCCAGCCAACAGTGCCATCATAGAAACCAGCTTCTGTTATCTAAAGTAGGAGTGGGCAGAGAGGTGGAGGGGGAGAAGAGAATGCTGAGCAGGTGAAATTCCACAGCCATCATAGTCCAATCTCATAGTATTTATAGTCCTGTGCTGCAGTTTCTGCTACCTGTGTGGACAGCCTGAGCCTTAGTGGAGTGAAGATGTCTTGAGGGAAGTCAAAGGGGTTGGTCTATTTTTTTTTTTTTTTTAATATCTGACTCCATAGATTTTTAAAAATATCTGACTCAGTCCCTGGCTTATGGTACGGGTAAGACTCGTATTCATGGGAAAAAAGGAGGGACAGAAGGAAGGGTTATTCTGAGGGTGTTGGAACTAGGCACATCTGATTTTCTTCTATTATAATCAGCACTATTTCAGTGTTGTGTGTGTGTGCATGCATTTATATGCATAGTAATGTTTGTTCTGTGGTTTCTAAAGTTCTGAGCATACTTTCTAAAGTTCTGAACATGCTGACTAGTTCTTGTGACTTCGGATATAGAATCTAAGCACCTTACTTAGTTTGCTTCACAGGCCCCTTGCACCATCTAGCCCCATCACCTACCAAATGCTCTTGGAGATCATGAGCTCCTCCATACCAGATTATTAGGCATTACCTGAAGTGATCATGTGTGTGCTGCCATGCCACAGGACCTGGGTACAAAGTGATCCCTCTGCTTGGAGTGTCTTGCCTCCTAATTTGACATGGGGGATTACCACTCATCTTTCAGTACCTTCCTAAGGGATTCTTTCTTCTGTGCAGCCTCACCTAATTCCCCTTTCTGTGGCAAATGTATTTTCACCCTTTCCCCACCCATCAACACATTGCTTGCCTAGGTATGCATGCATTTATATGCATATTAATGTTTGATCTGTACTTTCTAAAGTTCTGAACATGCTGAATGCCTGTCTCTTAGTCCCCAGTGCTTAGTACTTGATAAATCCTCCATAAATTTCAGTTGGTGAACTGAAACAAGGCATCTCACTCTAGAGAGTAACGTCAGGGTTTTTTTTTTTTTTTTTTTCTTTATTTCTTTCTTTTATTGAAAATGGTTGTGCCTTTCTTGCTTTGGGTTGGAATCCTCAGCACTTTGAAGGAAGATCCAAGAACAAGTAAGTAGCTGTTGTGGACAAGGTCTTGTGTGTCATTTTATCATTGAGGTCAATGCTAAGGACAGGATGTTCTCGATTCTCTCACATCCAGAATGCATGTATTGAGGCTGCGAAGAGTTGATGGTTGGGCTCCAGGTCTCTAGTTCTCACATACTAGAAGCAGAAGCAGGGTAACCAGCTGAGATAATCTGTTTCCCCAACACAAGCTCAAAACCAATGTATCTATGTCTTCCTACCTTTCTGAACCCTTCTATCCCTAGACATGAGCACACTCTCAATAACTATTTTTTACATGTCTTCAGGAATTAATTTTTAAAATGTTGTCAAGGTCAAGTCAATTCCCACCCATGTGTTACAGAATAGAACTAAGCTTTGTAAGGGTTTCTTAGCTGTAACCTTTACAGAAGCAGATCACTAGGCCTTTATTCCCTGGCACAGTTGGTTTGTTTTGAACCATCAACCTTTAGGTTATTGTTGTTGCTCTTGTTAAGTGCCATCGAGTCAGTTACAACTCATAGTGATCTTGATTCTGAGGAGCAGCTGATGAGCTTGAACCACCGACCTTGCAGTTCAAACCGACCTTGCCGTCCAGCTCATTAACCCACAGCGCCACACCAGGACTCCATTTAGGTTATTAATTGAGTACAAATATTTTGTGCCACCAGGGACCCTTCTGAAAGAATACATGTTTTTAAATCTGTCTTTTGTTAAGTGCTACAGAGTAGTGGAAGAGGGGAGTGGTCTCTTAGAAAATGGGTCAGCAGGCTGCATGGGTAGTTTGAGACATTCAGAACAGAAGTTTATTTATTGGTGATGATGATGTTGGGGAGTGCAAGTGCATTGAAAGGAGGATCTAAACTGAATCATACTCACTCCATTAAGCCTATTCTAGATCACGATGACACTATAGGTCAAAGTACAACTGCCTCATAGGGTTTTCTAGACTGAAATCTTTAAGGGTGATTTCACATCTTTTTCCCATTGAGCAGCTGAGTTAGTGAGTTCCAAATGCATCTCTAGGACTCATTGAGAGGAAGAGCACCCCATGAAAATGAGAACACTAGGGTAGTTTTTAGCTTTGTTTGGACCAGACAAGTGTTTCCCTTATGCCATCGCGTCCTCTCTTGGAATGGTACTGGACTTACTCATTAAACCCCCCCCCCCCGCCCCCATAGGGGAGGAAAGACAAAATAAATGACTCTAGTGCAACCAGAGTGCTCTTTGGAGGCCAAGATGACCAAACTTCGTCTCTCATACTTAATGACAGATTGTCAGGAGGGACCAGTCGCTGCAGAAGGATATCATATGTGGTAAGGAGAAAAAGAAGAAGATCCCCAGCAAGATGGATTGGCAAAGTGGCAGCATCAATGGGCTCGAGCATGGCAACAATAGTGATGTTGGCCGAGGTTCAGGCGGGTTTTCGTTCTGCTGTGTGTAAGGTCGCTATGAGTCGGTACCTACTCAATGGCACCTAACAACAACAACAACCCTTCACTTGTTCTTTGGAAACCCTATACAGGGTTGCTGTGAGTCGGAACTGACTGGACGACACTTAAAACAACAATATGTAACTAGCACAGTTGTTGTTGTTGTTGTTGTTGTCAGGTGCCATCGAGTTGGAACCGACTCATAGCGACCCCATGCACAGCAGAACGAAACAATGTCCGATCCTGGGTCAACCTCACTACCGCTGCCACACTTGAGTCCATCAATGATGCCACTTGGCCAGTCCATCTCCTTAGGGGTCTTCCTCTTTTTCTCTGACCCTCCACCTTACCCAGCATGACTAGCACAGTAGATCCCTTTATTTGGCTTCCTCTTCATAAATACCCAGGATATCTGAGAGGCTGAGCATTCACACCCTCACTTCCCCACAATCACAGCCTTCACCTCCTTCCAGCAGCCCCAGACCCTGCGGGCCTGCCTCCGCGCTGCCCCTAAGCAGCCACAGGGGGAACTAAAGAGACAGAAGCCTTTCCAGCTGCCCGGACCACAGACGCCAACACCCCCAGCCCCCCACCACACGCCGCCCGCCAGCTCCCGGCACGCTGGCCCTAGACCAAGAGGCGGCAGCAGCAGCAAGCTGCAGCGACTCTGACCAACGAGCTCTCTGTGGTGCTCGCCATCCCAGGTGATTTGGGCTAGCCAGCTTGGCTGGCCCCCGGGTCTTTTGCCCAGATTCCCGCTCACCTCGCGCACCAGGCCGGGTTCTAACTCCCATCCGCTCTTCCCTGCCTCTCAGAAACCACCCTCCTCTCCCCAGATCTCGGAAAGGGAGGTCGCGGCAGCGGCCCGGCGGCAAAGGTGACCGTGGCGACAGCGGCAACCGTGGCGGCTGCGGTAGCAGCAGTGGCTGCAGCGGAGGCTGCGGCGGCGACCGTGGCGGAGGCGGTGGCGGAGGCCTCTGTGGCGGAGGCGGAAGCAGAGGTGGAGGCTGAGGTGGAGGCCGAGGTCGTTGTACAGGAGGCAGCAGAGGTGGAGGCCACCCTGGGGGAGGCGGCGGCCTCTTTGGTGGCAACGGCGGTGGCACAGGCCAGCGCCGCCGAAGCCGTGACTGCAGCAGAGGCTGGTGCGTCCCCCTTGGCAGAGGCAGATGGAGATACGGATACGGATGCAGTTGCCGAGGTGGTAGAGGCGGTAGCTGAGGCAGAGACAGCCGCTGCCAATACAAATGTAAATGCGGACACTGGAGGGAGCGCCAAGGGGAACCCCGACTTCCCCATGGCCTCGCTGTACGTGGGCGACCTGCACCCTGAGGTGACCGAGGCAATGCTGTATGAGAAGTTCAGCCCGGCCGGGCCCATCCTCTCCATCCGCATTTGCCGGGATAAGATCACCCGCCGCTCGCTGGGCTATGCGTATGTCAACTACCAGCAACCTGTGGACGCCAAGAGGGCCTTAGAGACCCTGAACTTTGAAGTCATCAAGGGCAGGCCGGTGCGCATCATGTGGTCCCAACGAGACCCCTCGCTCCGCAAGAGCGGGGTGGGTAATGTCTTCATCAAGAACCTGGGCAAGACCATTGACAACAAAGCGCTGTACAGCATCTTCTCAGCATTTGGCAACATCCTCTCCTGCAAAGTGGCTTGTGATGAAAAGGGGCCCAAGGGCTATGGGTTCGTGCACTTCCAGGAGCAGGAGTCCGCTGAGCGGGCCATCGACGCCATGAATGGCATGTTCCTGAACTACCGCAAAATTTTCGTCGGGAGATTCAAGTCGCATAAAGAAAGAGAGGCTGAAAGGGGAGCCTGGGCCAGGCAGTCCACCAGTGCTGAAGTCAAGGATTTCGAGGAAGATACTGATGAGGAGGCAACCTTACAATGAAGACATCCAAGAGTCTGCAAGCAAGCCAGCAGAGCCAAACCTTGGCTCCCAACCGGTTTACAACATCCCATCCCCACCCCACCCACCAGCAGTGTTTTGTATTGGGAGTGCAGGTTTCTCTTCTCTTGTCCTCTCCCCTCTCTTTCACTTCTTTCTTCTCCTATCCCCTTACTTCTTTTTCCCTCCCCTCCTTCCCCCACTTCTTCTCTCCTTCCTTCCCCTCCTCCACCTAGGGCATTGTGAATAATCTTGCAAATCTCCATTTGATAGATTAAAGGCTTCCTTCTGTTGTTCTTAAGTGCCATGGAGTGAACTCATAGATACCCTGTATAGGGTTTCTGAGGAGAGATTGGTAGGTTTGAGTTTGGTTTAAAAACAATTTCTTTCTCTCTTTGTTTACTGCACAGGTGATACAATTTAATGGTAGAAACATCTGAAAGGAGAAGGAAATCAGATGAGGGGAAAACCAAGAGAGCAATTGCTCCCCATGCTCCTACTACCCAGAGACAACCACTTTTACCTTTTTTGATGTGCTGTTCTTCCAGGCTCTCTTCACTGCTCTATCTCCCTTCCTCAATCCAACCCACCCTCCCTTTTAACACACTGCTGTAAAATGGTTTATGTTTGTGGTGTTTCTTAACTTGCTTTTTCAGAAACTAAAACCAAACAAAAATCAACCCATTGAACTTCTTTCCATATTATTCCACAGGCTTCGGAAACATCATCTTCAGTGCCTGCAGATTATTCTAGTGTATCCATGGACCTTAATATTTCTGTAATTTATTTCCACATTGTTTAACATTCAGGTAGCACCTAGTTCTTTCCCTCTGTTTAAAAGCAACACTTCGTACTCTGATGAGTGAATATTTCCTTGTCAGTCCAAATCATTGCTAGTATCCCTATGTCGTCAGATGGTCTCCTTTAACTGTGGACAGTACATATGAACATTTTAAAGACTTTATCTGTGTGTTGCCAACTGCCCCCCTCTGCAAACATTGCACTGAGTTGCATTCATGCCATCCAGAGCAGCTAGTAAAAAGAGTATATCTATTTCCCTAGCATAGTTTCCTGGTTCTTGTAATTGTGTGTGTATGTGTGTGTGTATACACACATATGTGCACGTGGGACCTGCATATAGGTTTTCACTGTCTTTGGTTGTTTTGCTTTATTTAAACACTGTTTATTTTCCGACCACTCCCTGTCCTCCTCCCCATTATCAGAAAGATAATTCAGCTTCATTGCAGAAAAAAACACAAACCAGACAAATCAAAAGAAGAAAATTTATGTCATTAGTAATCAGCAGTAATGACCACTTATACCCTTCTGAAACGTTTTCATCTGTGCCTGTCCAGTATTTTTTCATGTTGTATATTATATATTTGTGGATTTTAATGTATATACTGTTTCAATATCTGCTTTTTTCACACTTAAGTATATAATATAGATAGATATAAAATATAGATGTATAGATAGATATTCTTGAACCTCCTTTCATGTCATTAAATATTCTTCTAAAATTGTTTCATGGCTGTTTAATGTTCCAGTGTATGGCTGGGCTAAAAAAAAGGGATAAATAAAAATGTGTATATATATGTACATATCTTTATCCATATGTAGAAATAGATATAGGTATATTTGTTTTGTTTGAACTACTTCCTTATTGCTGGATATCTGGCTTTTTTCTGTTCTTTCATTTTCCAAATCAAAGCTTTCAAGAATATTATAGTATGCAAACTTACTGACTTTAAATATTTTCCTCAACAAACAGTGCTGAAAGAAGGGTCAAGGATATAGGTAATGGATATAGGCAGTTTCAGTATTGTGTGGGTGAATTAGTAAATGACCATTCATAAAGATAGTATCAGTTTACTATTATAAGGTAAGAAAATCCTGTGAAAAATACTAAATTCCAATTTTCTGAGCTTGGTATTCTAATCATTTGTGCACTCTGCCAATATTTTATCAGATGACATTTTTGGTTTTATTTACTTTGAAAATGTTTGTGTGTATATATATATATTTGTTATTGTTATTAAGTGCCATTGAGTTGGTTCTGACCCATAGCGACCCTGTATAGGGCTTCCAAGGAACAGCTGGTAAGCTTGAACTGCCAACCTTGCAGTTCAAATGGCTTTGCAATCTGGTGCATTAACCCACAGTGCCACATCAGGACTCTCTCTCTCTGTATATATATATATATATACAGCTTTTGTTTTATTTATTTTGAACATGTTTATATATATATATGCATATGAAGTCCTGGTGTGGTGCTATGGGTTAATGCGCTGGTTGCTATGGGTCAAAACCAATTCAACAACACTTAACAACAACAACAACCTATATGCATATATATGGATGTTATGAGGGAGTGTCATAAAGTTTATGGAAAAAATCTTTGTTTTTCATTGCATTTTTCCATGACCTTTTTGAAGTTCCTCCTACAACATTATCATAATAGAAAAATTAAAAAATTGTTAAGGAAAGAAAGTGAAAATCACACCTATTTCTACCATTTGACCAATAAATAAGTAAATAACACCCACTTTGAATAAGCAAACATGAAAGAAATAAATAGTATATTATATATTGTTTCAAGTAACATTTTCACTATAACTGTTCTTTCTTATCTTTTCAAATTATTGACTATTCTGTAATTCTTAAATTACTACTCTATTTTATGAATGAGTTTAATTTCTAAAACCCAGCCATGATACATCCAATTTCTCCCCCATTCAAATGATCTTTGTGGAGAAAACTTTTCTAGCTGAATGTTTACTGAAATTTAATGATATTTAATTTTTTATGTAATTTACTATTGTGTTTATATTCACTAGCAGTGTAGAAGAGTGCATGCTACCCTGTATCTCTTCTTGTTAGTATTTTTATTTAAAATGTTTTCTTGTATGAGCTAATTTATTTTCTTTTCAACTTTTTATTATGATTTGGGTGAAAGTTTACAGAGCAAATTAGTTTTCCATGCAACAATCCGTACACATTTTGATTTGTCACATTGACAAATCAAATACTTTTTTTTATTTTCCCGTTGCTCCACAATGCAACAAACAACACTCTTCTGACTTCCTCCTTGTGTTTATCATTTGTCCTCCTTTTCTAATCCTTCCTATCTTCTGAGTTTTGTTGTTGTTTAGGGCTGTCAAGTTGATTCAAACTCATAGCAACCACTACAAAAAGGGGCTGGTAGGTTTGAACCATTGATCCTGTGGTTAGCAGTTCAGTACTTATCCTATAACATGACGCCAAGACTCCATCTCTGGGCAAAGGTTATAGTTTTATCTGGAATGGTTTATTGTTCTAATACCTCCCTGATGTTATTTACCTCATAGGCCTGTCTGGGTTTTGGCTGATGCTGAGCCAAAGGGTGAGTTCCCTTTCAGACTTGAAGAGTGATTAAAGGGAATAGCCTTGTATGTTCAACTAGTCTATCAGACCAGTAATCTTGGACTTTTTTATGATTTTGAGATTTTCCCCCACATTTTCTCTCAATTTATCTGACACCCTTCTATTGTAATTCCTTTCAAAATGTTTGGTAGAGTTAGCCAGGCATGATGTAGTTTTGGTCTCACAGACTTGAATGCTGAAGTTCACATGCTCCATTAGTCCTGTGGACTACTTATTTCCATGGGCCTGTGTTTGATTTTCTTTACTTTTCTTCATTCTGGGTGGGAAGAGATCAATAGTAGCACCTCAGATGACCACTCACAGGCTTTTAACACCCTATTAGCTGCTCACCAAAGTAGCACTGTCTTTGTGGACTATGTTATGCCAACTGATGACTCCTGAGACTATGGGCCTGAACCCCCAGATCCTCAGGCTCATTCCCTTAAGGTGTTTGGTTATGGATAAGAAGTTTTCATAACTTTGCTCCCTGTATATTCTATTTTAAGGAGCTTTGGTAGTGTAGTGGTTATGAATCGGGCTGTGAACCTTAAGGTCAGCAGTTCGAAACTACCAGCTGTTAACATGGGAGAAGGATGAGGCTTTCCACTCCTGTAAAGATTTTAAAGACTTGGAAACCCTGTACAGGGTCCTTATGCGTTGGAACCGACTCCATGGCACGTCACAACCATGACGATACTCTATTTTATGTTCCTGGATATATTTATAGCTTACATAAATATATATAATAATATCGTTTGATATATAAATGTTGTTGTTAAGTTCTATTGAGTTAGTTCTGACCCATCATGACCTTGTATAGGGTTTCCAAGGAGCAGCTGGTAAGCTTGAACTACTGACCTTGTGGTTCAAACTGACTTTGCAGCCCAATGCATTAGCCCACATTGCCACACCAAGACTCCATAACTCCATATATATTTCTGTTGTGGCACTATAGGATAAGCATTGGACTGCAAACCAAAGGACTGCGGTTCAAACCACCAACTGCTCTGCAGAAACCCTATACAGGGTCACTATGAGACAGAACTGATTTGATGGCATTTAGCAGCAATATATGCATTCATGGGTGTAGTCCTATTTTACTTCCCATACTTATTGATGTTGTCTATCTAAATTTGTATATTCTCAGAGATTATTATTATTACTATTGTTATGGGATTGTGAATGTAATATTATTTGCTTTTACTGCCTGTAACTCTTGTGCTCTTCCTAGTGTTTTCCTTTACCTTGATCATCTTGCACTGACCTCCCCCTTATTGTATATTGCCTCTAGGTTTACCAAAGTTAATACGTGTCTAAAGGAACTCTGGTAGCGTAGTGGTTATGAAACGGGCTGCAAACCTTAATGTCAGCAGTTCAAAACTACCAGCAGCCCCGTGGGAGAAAGATGAGGCTTTCTGCTCCCGTAAAGATTTACAGCCCCGGAAACCTGTATAGGGTCACTATGGGTAGGAACCGATTCAAAGGCACTTAACAACAACAACTTCACCCTCTAATTAAGGAGACCAGGTAGTGTAGTGGATTGCTAGGTGGGTTGTTAACTGAAAGGTCAGCAGTTTGAATCTACCAGCTGCTTTGCTGGA